CAGGAATGCAGACAAAGGCAGATCAAGTCCAAGAAAGAAAAGCCCAAGTCAAACAAAGGAGAATGTTAGAACTGCAATAAGAAGGGGCATTTTATGAATGATTGCAAAGCTCTAAGGAAAGCTGGTGGTGGAGAACAAGAATGTAGTTACTTTACTAATGTCTTCACTGGTGAAATCCAAAGTGACTCTCTGGTATTATCCCTAGCCAGTACTAAATCCTAGATAGTGGATTTTTGTGCCTCTTTTTATGCTCGCCCTAATAAAGATGTATTTAAAAACTACACCCAGAGTGATTTAGAGAAAATTTATTTGAGAGATAATATGGTCTGCAGTGTAGTAGGAAAGGGTGAATGTTAATATCAAGTTGTCGAATGGAGCAGTCTGGAAGCTTACTGATGTTATACATATTCAAAATTTTAATAGAAATCTTATCTCTGTGAGCCAGCTTACAAAGTCAAGACTCGTGACTATTTTCACACGTGATTCGTGGAAGGTAACCTAGGGGCATTAGTAATGACTTGAGGCACCATTGAAAGCACCCTTTATCTGATCAATGAAATGACTGATTTCATTGATGTAGCTAGAACTAGGTTGGATGTGGGTTTATGGCGTCGTAGGCTTGGCTATATGAACGAGAAAGGTATGAAGTCCCTGCTTTCAAAGAATAAGTTTCAGGGTTTGAAATCAGGCAATCTGGATTTCTGTGAAGATTGTATATATGACAAGCAAAAAGAAGGTTTCTTTCTCCAAAGTTAATGGTGAAATAAAAGAAACTGGAGTTAATGAATACTGGTGTATGAGTTTGTACTACAGTTCAGTCTATTGGAGGTCTCCTTATTTTGTTACATTCACTGATGATCACATGAGAAAGGTATGAGTTTATTTCTTAAAATATAAATTTAATGTATTTGAAGTCTTTAAGAAAGGGAATTCTATGGTAGAAAATAAGACAGACTTGAAGTTAAAGTTTCTCAAATCAGATAATGGAGGCGAGCACTGTGATCAAAAGTTCAGGAATTTTTGTTCTGCAGAGGAGGTCAGACATGAATTCATTGTCCCAAAGATACCGCAGCAGAATGGTGTAGCTGAGCGCATGAACAGAATAATCACGGAGCATGCTAGGAGCATGAGACTGCATGTAGGCTTATCAAAGCTGTTTTGGGTTGAAGCAGTTAACACTACAGTTTATCGGATAAACTGTAGTCCATCAGTACCTTTGACGGAAGGCTTACTTGAAAAAGCCTGGAGTGACAAAAAGGTATATCTATCTCATTTAAGAGATTTGGGTGTCTGCATATGTGCATGTTGATGCAGGGTTCAGGAGCAAGCTTGACTCAAAATCTGTTAAGTACAACTTCATTGGATATGACTTAGATGAGTTTGGATACAAGTTCTAGGATTATCTGAATTAGAAATTTATTAGGAACAGAGACGTAACTTTTAACGAAATGGAGATGTACAAGAACGATCAGAATTCAAGATAGTTCGTCAGCTACTTCTGAAGAATCCAAATATGTGGATAAAAATGATAATAATGATCAGGAAGTTGGAGAAAAAACAAGTGTGTAACCAGAAGGATCACTGAAAGTTCTACAGTCACCTACTACAAAAGTTAGAAGATCTAGCAGAGTGGCAATATCCTTACATAGGTATTCTTCTTCTTTACATTATTTTTTTTTAACTGATAGTGATGAACCTAAGTGATTTGAGGAGACCACGCAAGTTGAAGATTCAAGGAAGCGAGAGCTTGTCATGGATGAAGAAATGCAATTTTTGGAGTCAAATCAAACTTGGGATTTTATGATACTACCAAATGACAAAAGAGCACTGCACAACAAGTATGTATACAGGTTGAAAGAGGAGTCAGATTGTAGCAAGCACTACAAGGCATGGTTTGTTGTAAAGGGGTTTCAGCAGAAAGAATGAGTGGATTGCACAAAGATATTCTCTTCAATGGTGAAGATGACGACTGTTAGGGTTGTGCTGAGTCAGGTATCAAATGAAGATTTACATGTGGAGCAGATGGATGTAAAAACAACTTTCTTTCATGGAGATCTGGAGAAGGAACTGTACATGGTGCAACCACAAGGTTACAAAGTTCCAGACAAAGAATGTTTGGTTTGCAGATTGAAGAAGTTCTGTGACTTGAAGCAGGCTCCGAGACAGTGGTACAGGAGGTTTGACAGGTTCATTTCAGGCAATGGGTATATGAAATGCCAGTTAGACCACTGTTGCTTCATCAAATACTTTTGTAACTATTTTGTTTTGCTAATTTTGCATATGGATAACATGTTGATTACAAGGGTAGATATGGAGGAATGCAGACAAAGGCAGATC